GATGTTCCTGTCCCACACGTGTCGCAGTGCAGAGAGAGGCAGTACAAACCTCGCTGCGTGAAACTGGTCGCTTTTATCACACGGTTGATGTGCAGAAGCACGGTCCCCGATGATGGGAGTCTGGGCCCTATCATGGGCAGACAAGCACTTACACACTATTCTGGAGTTTCTAGAAAAGGAAATCTTCCTGGTTTTCCATGCCAGTTTCTTTTCATTCCTTTGATTTCTACAGGCCTCTTGGCAACTTCAGCAGTTCTCCTCAGCATACTTAAAATAGGCTCCCTCATGCAGCAGCCTGAGTGGAATGGATTTTCCTCTGATTCAGCTGTAACACACCAACTTCATGGAGGGATGCTTGCTTTGCCCTGCTGCAAAGGAGAGGAAAGTCAAATGCATGTTGGTCTGCCAACGGTAGCTCCTCCCAGAGTCCTCCCCAAAAAACTTGTCAGCCAAGGATTTCAAATTGGTTGAAGACAAGAAAAACCCTTCTCCTACTAGCTAGGAATATTGCATTGTTTATTACCTTTTTACTGATCTCAAGTAGAGCTGGGGTGGGTGAAATGAACTGTGTTGGCAAAAGGACATTTTAGCCTGGTTTTATTTTATTTATTTATTTATTTTTACGATTAGTTTAAACCAATCAAGAATAATCTGTTCCTGACTGACACCAGTAGATAAGCAAAAGTGTGTAGGCTAGAGCTGTCTCAGCATACAAGGCAAAGCACTTCTGAAGTGTCTGAATCTTCCTTTGCCAGTGTTTGTAGTGTACAGGCCTTCACCAGAGTGAGTGACATCAGAGTGCTTATTTTTGAAAGAAAAAAAAATAGACTTCCTTTAACGTTTCTGTTTGCTCCAAATTTGGCTAGCATCAAAAAGCACCAGAAGGCTCAGCTTGTTCTGATGGCAGAAGTCATCCGTGGGTAGCTGGACTAGTCTGGGCAGCCAGCAAGGGGATGGGAAGGGGATCCAGTCCAGACTGGCTATCAGATCAACAGCTGCTGCAGACTTTAATTTCCTTTTATAGAAGGGAGATAGATTGTGGGAACTGTTGCTCTTCATAGCCTGTGGAGTCTTCAGCTTAAAAATCTGCCCTCCCTGAGGACCAGACGCTACGTAACATCTCAAATGCCAGTCTGCATGTTTGCTCAGGTTTTTGCCGCAGCCAAAAGTAGCGTGCTTGCCTTTGCTTCGTGCAGGGACCTGTGAAGCTTCCCTGTTCTGTGGCTCCTGGACGATGACTTGGAGTCACAGGAGGTGAGAAAGCCTGCAACAGTCCAGAGGGCTTACAGGCAGGTGGTAAGGGAGATCAGAGTTAGGGCCACCCAGGAGCAGGAGGAGAAATGTGCTAGGAGCCTACCTGCTGCTATGCATGGGGCCCCGCAGGGCAGAGCGCCGGCTCTGGTGCCTGCCTGGACCCTGTCCTGAGGACCACTGAGCACGGGAGCACACTGGCAATCATTTCAGGGCTGGGGAGCAGCTTTCCCACTGATAGCTGCCGTTCCCAACTTGTCCTCAAAGCCAGGAACACCCCTCAGCAGGGAGGGGTATGCATCTCGGGCAGAGCAGGATAAGACATGTGCTTCTGCTGTTCCCTCATAGCTGGGTTTAATAAAAACGAGGATAAGCTTAGGGCAGCAGAGGGGAAGGGGACAGGACTTGGCATGTGGCCAGGGAAGCTCACCTCGCTAACACGGCTTACGCCTTTTCTTTAGAAGGCCACCATCGCAGTCCTCGCTCTTACCGGCAGCTCCTCCTTCTGCAGAAGGAAGTTGCTTGAGGCTGGAGTTTATTTACACTGACAACAAATGTCAAGGCAGAAAAGTTTGGTGGTAGTAGCAGTTTCCATGGTCTGTGCAGGAAGCTATCTATAGCAACTGGGAAGCCACAGAGGACACATGTTGTCACCACTCTGCAGGACACACTCTGTCTGGCCATATACAGGGAGTTATATATAGAGCCATATACAAAAATATAGAAGAGCTCTGTGGCTGTGTTGGAAAGCCTCATCCAGACACATCTCTAGCAGAATCCTGTCCTTGGCCCCACCAGAGCCACGTATTTCAGGGGCTATTTCAGAAGGATGCTGGGCAGTCAGCACTGCCTGGGGACAGCTGATCTGTAAAGTATGAGCGTACAGACCAGAGTGCAGATATGCCCAATCCTTCTAAGATTTCTGCTTTCCTCTAAAGTATCTTTGTGCTATTTATAGAAACATCCTCCCCCCCATTCCCATCTATGTACCTTGCAGATTAGCAGTACATTGAACAGACCCACTAGTAAAACTCTCCTTAGTTTAAGAATTTACAGGCTGGGGGGCAGGGATTAAAAAAATGACAACATTGAAGTAGAAGTAAAGAACTGTAAAAAATAGCCCAGGAGGGTCCTTAAGAGCCCACCAAACTGCCCCAAGGCAGGAACAGCTGTCCCTACGTTGTTCCCGACAGTTGTTAGTCTAACCTGCTGTGAAAGAGCACCCCTGACAAAGGGGCAGTAGGTTTACACAGATGCCTTCTTGCGCGATGCTCCTTCATGACGAGTCTGAAGTTGAAGGAGGCTTTAATGGTGTAAGCAGTATGAAGCCTGGGTCCAAGATTAAAATGTAATTTTGTAAAGTCAGCCTGTTTTAGTAAGACATGGCCATAATTTAAAGAAGGTTGCTAAATGAAGACTTCGGCACAGCATAACAGCAAATAAATATAGCTCTGTGCTTAGGGGAACCTTTAAATTATCCAAAGGCAGCATGCAATTTCAACAGCAGTCCTGCATATTTAGCTTTCTAGGCAGCATAAGCACCACTCCTTTTCCACAAGCACTCAGGAAGGGTGATGAACAACAGAAAGCTGTGCCTTGACTTCTATTCTGTCATTTGCACGTCAGATTGTCCTTTTGCAGATTTTCTATAAAAGGATAAGGTGGGATCCTCCCTCCCAGGGTGAGGCAGAGCCTCTGCCCCATGTGCTGTAGCAAAGGGGCCATGGGGAGAGATCTGGATGGAAACTCGGGGATGGCTCTTCCAGAAATAGCTTCATGAAGGCCTCCGTGCTCTCAGACTGCAAGCGTGCGAGGTGGTTGGTTTAACCAGTACACAGGGTAGCTCCTAGTCCTTGTACCAGAGCCTGGCTATCATCACTGTTACGAGTTCACACGGAAGCCACCTTCACATGCATACACGACTAAAACTGTCAAAACACGGGCTTCCACATGCATATCTCCCTCCGTTCATTTGTGAGTTTAACATAAACAACCTAACCTGGCAAGTTGAAAGCTCTTTCCTTACCACAAACATTTCCCTTCCCATGCACATTTTGAAATTCTCGAAGTGAGAGGCTGCAGATTGTTCTCACACAGATTTTCTCTTCCTTGATGACCTTCCCGTTTTTATTGAGAGGCAGGACTGTTTCCTTCCTTGGGATCCTGCTCGTTCTCCAGTGGCAATGGCCACTTCTGTTCAGTCCCATTCTCAAGTACAGAGCCCGTACCTACAGGTGGACATTTTAAAGGATGTTCTTGCACTGCAGTTATCAAGCAAGGCACTTTGCCGGTACCTCAAAAGCAAAGCAGTAGCATAGAGGTTTGCTGTCTTTGGTGGCTTCAGCTTGCAAATCTCTGGAGGTTGTCATTTTCTGTGAAAGATGAGATGATGCTGTGTGGGCAGTTCTTTACCTAGAACATCTGACTGGCTTGCAAAAAACCCCACCCCAAGAGAGCTACGGCTCACAAGGAAAAACAGAGTTTTCCCTGCTTCCCAAAGCAACAGTTCATTGATTTTTATTACATTCAGAAACTAATCAGACAAATAGAGACCAGGAAGAAAAAAGCTTTAAAATGGTGGGCTGAAAGTGTAAATCTATGACATACTGTAACCACTCAATGGAGGAATTCAATAATCATTTAGTATAAAGATGATGAGACTTTCTTCTCTTTCACCCAGTGCTTGTCTAAAGCAAGGAAAACTTGTTAAGTGGTCTCTACTTGCAATAGCAAAACAAGAGCTTTTCAGAGCAACCACAGTATCGAACACCAACCTGAACAGACCAATATTCTCATTCCACTGATGAATTTCACAGACATTTCACATTTTAGTTGCAGCACTAGGATCTGCTCACCTGGGGGTCTCTCTCCCTTCTCACATCCCAACAGCATGTCTTCTCCCTCTGCAGGGGCACCAATAGCAGGGTTCTTCCAAAATGCAAGGAGATAGGCTGTCCACAAAGGCTCCAAATTTGGAAATCACTGTTCCTTCCCTTCTACACAAAGTAACCCCAAACAGAATGGCTAAGGACTCGCCTCAAAGGTGAAATGTATTTTTCTGGGAACGCTACTGTTTCTAAGGTATATTTGATTTTTGATACGGGCTTGCACAGAGAACAGCATATTTGACGTTGCTGAAGAAGCTCCTCTTAAGTTGTCTTTTACTTTGTTACAGGGCATTAGAGCATGGAGCAAGGTAGACTTAATACATGCTTCAACATAGTATTTCCGGTATTTCTCCAACTTCCAATTTACTTGTTAGCTTTTTTCACAGCTGATGATTGTTACCTTTAGAACAAAATTTCTCAAGATGAAAAGTTCATAAATACAAACATACTTAGCAAAGTATGCTGCTATCATATCTGCCAGTAGCTATATACAAATCAAGTTGCTGTAAAAGCCCTAATGATGATGTTCAAAACCTCAGTCTTCAGATCCCATTGGAAGGATAAATTTAACTTCCATTGGTCAGCAAACCAGTTCAAAGCTGTTTTCCTAGAAGAAGAGGTAGAACCACAGACAGTTTGTGAGCCTTTCAGATAAGATAGGGGCACCCAGCTGGCAAGTATTTGTTAGCCCAAGTGAATATCAGCAGCCTTTCAGTGCTACAGAGGATTACGTAAGGCATTAATTTTATAAATACAGCCTTGATCAACAGGAAGAATTAGAGAGTGGGTCTGCGGTATGACACCATTGCTGGAACATCAGAAGGCTGAAGCAGTGTAGCTGTTCTGCACAGTGCAAGCCCCGATAGCCAAGACATTTTTTACCTCCTCAAGCACATGGTAAAGACATTTAATTTAATTTCGTATTTAGGTTCAGCCTCAGCAATGTAAAGCTGTGGTTAACACACAGATGGATAGCAATCGCATAGTATTTTTCTAGCTACCTTTAAGCTTCACAGTTCACATTTACATTTTACCTGCATTTGGACGTCTCTTAAAAAAGATTTTAGGTTATGGACTCCCCTTCTTATCTGTGAAATTGTTGTCCATTGATTTATTCTTTAACATTTTTCTAGTCAGAAGACATGATAACCACAAAAATGGGAAAGGCAATGCAACCTAGCATTAACTACACAGTCAAAATGTCTGCTATACAGGAACATTCAATGTTCACCATTTGTTTGCTTGACACCAGTTGAGGCATTAAGAATGGCAAATCACGTATTCAGATTTGGTTATTAGCGCAGACTTTTGTCAACTTAAAAAAGATGACAGATTTCATACCAATTAATTAGATTCTCAGTGTGCTGTGAAGGCATACACATTTTGCTGGCTCCAGAACAAACTATGGGAGTTAATGGGAAACAAATATGCCTCCTGCAACCTTTAGAAAAGGATACCTCTGCTGTCAACATTCAGCCTGAAAAGATGCTGTTATTTAGCTGGGGGTGGGGTGGGGTGGGGTGGGGGGGGCAGAAAGCTGTAGAATAACTGTAGGCCAAGGAAACGTGAAATGCAAAATCCACGTAAGCAACTCAAGGTAGCTTACAGATATAGAAAACAAAGCAAGAACTATTAGCTGCTTTTTGAAGCAGAACACTGTTAAATTACTTGCCACGAGACATTAACTAGTTATTCACAGAATATGATTTTTCACTGTTGTCCCCTTACTTCTGCTTCTCTACCCTGATGTCCCTCACAGATAGGAAAACTCAGGAGCCATAGTTTAGGATTTTGCAAGTACAGATTTGGCCCAAGATAATCAGATACATCATTCCTCATGAAGCCAAGTAAGAAAGTATCAACATTTGGGCTGTTTCCCAGCAGAGACTTAGAGCACCTTATTAAACTCTTCTGAAATTCAAGGCTACTTTCTCTAACAGGGGATGCACTAAATGCTAAAAAACTGGTAGACAGTTCTCCTACTCTACCATAGGTCAACTTGTGGCCATCATCTAATGTCAAGGACAAGCAAATACTGTGCTATTTTGAATGACTTTTACCCCAAGGTTTTTGTTTGTTTGTTTGTTTTTTAATGGATTCTCAGCAAGGTAGAGCCCCATGACCTGAGAGTCTTCTGTTCAGGGAAGCTCCGTCGGCCTTTGCTGACCAACATCCCATTAAGCCCCTCCAGGAAAACGGACTCCCTCAGGAACTGCTGTAGTGCAGTCCCAGCCTGGTAGAACCTCTCTTTTAGGAATCTCTGTTTCTTTTGACTTGCAGCTGAATTTCAGGTCATCTCAGGATGTGGGGAATAAGACCAATTCCCAAGCTCTAGCTTCCTCACTTCACTCCCTCACGTTGCACAAGTCATTACCTCCCTCTTGCTCTTGCCCCCTAATCTATGCACTTATCCTAGGCAGCTCAAATCTTTTCCACCATTTTGATTTCACTTACTCAACATTCCCTTCCTTATTTTTCTCTTGCGCCCACCCTCTGTATCTCCCAGTTTCAATATTCTCTTTATCTGCACCTGTCCTACTCAAGCACCTCGTTCCCCCTCCCCAATACTAGCCCTACAGTCCTCTTGCTTCCACCGCTCCAGACTTCTTACAGTTCTTCCAGCTATGTAGCCTCTCCTACAAGGGAAGTGTCTACTGGGACAAGCCTGCATCACATGTCTTACTTCCAAGCCCTGCCCCATGGTCCTTCTCTGCTCTTCCAAGCAGACCACCATCACTGGTGATGTTCCCAATACTGCCATGGAAATTAATCTGCTTATAGAAATAAAAACAATTTCTTTAAGTAGGAACACTGCTACAGATTTGGACACCTGGATTGTTCTGGTAGCCTGAGGAGGCCCACTGAGGCTCTCTGGCATGTGTGACAGGGGTACAACTACTCTACCCTTTTCACTTGCACTGCGTTGCAAAATCAGAACTATGGTTATTCCTGAAGCTCTTTTTACTGACTGAAAGCGTCTATATCATGTCTCTTAGGGCTCACCAGTGACAAATGGTGCACTTAATCTGGCTTGAGAGATCTTCAGTTATCTGCGTTTGGAAGTCCTTTAGGAAAAATATGCCTTAATGACTGGCAAGTAGAAAGACATTCTGGTGTCTACTGCATGCCTGAAATGCACAAACTGACCTGCCACAAACACAACAGCTGCCAAGTTATTTGCTTTGATTCTGAGCAGCATTTCAAGCATAGGAAGTAAGGCACTACTACTACACAAGCTGAGAACATTCATTATCTCTCTAACAGTAAACTATTGCCACTTACTTTAAAGCCCAATGTTTCATTCTTTACACAGAATGGTTAAGAAACTCAGAATTATTTCACGCTAAAAGGGAAATACGTATAAAAATCAGAGTGCAGATGTACAATTTTAATGTACTGCAAAGGTTTGACTTTGGAAATAGGTTCTAATGCTACTCTTGCACACAGCCACTCTTCCAAAACACTGTGTTGAATACCTCTTATTGACATACATCAATACGCCACATTCTCATTGAATTTCACATGAAGAGAATATTCCAGATGATGACTCTTTGTCTGGCTAATGATCCACTGCATCTGTGTAGAAGCTACTTAGAAGAATTATGAAATCCATTTAGTAAGGCCACACAACTTTAAAAGTCCAGTATATTGAATAAAATAATTTTATTTGTATTTACTGCAATTTTTTTTTAACAAAGTTTATGGAATTTGAAAGTAGATGATAAAAGGTAACTTTTAACTGAGACTTAATATGGGAGATTCTCTACCCGAAAATATGTCAAACATTAAGATCATGAAGAACTCCAAGGTTCTGTGCTATACTGTATGATATGCAAACAGATTTTGAAAATACTTTCCCATTATATATTTTGACACAGTATGCACAAATTTAAAAAAATAAAATAAAAATGAAGTTCAAATGCCTCAAGGGATTTCTCAGAAGTAAAGCCATTTGAAGAGCCATTTACAGTCTGCGGTGACAAACTTCTATATAATCAAAATATTTTTTCACAATGCAGAATAACCTGCTGAAGGCAACTCCCTATCGAAGTGATGCCAGCAACACAGATCTGATTGTATGACTCCAGCACTTAAAAGAGCACATTGGTTATACATGGCTTTTAACCTTGGGCTACAATTCTGCTACCAGAACTAAATTCAAGTCTAAATCAGTCATGTAGAGAGGTGTGTGTCGTCTGAACACTGTTTAGAGTCCTTGTTTTCCAGATCTGATGAAGGTGGTGAAGGCGCTCTGAGGTTCTTGTGCTTACATTCAGGGCGGGATGAACTTTGCAAATACCAGATTCTCCAATTAACGACAAACCACAGATCCCAAAGTAGGCGTGTAAAGCATCTGAAAAAAGAACAGAAAAGGAAAAAGAAAATTATGTCCAGCTCTAACAGCCAAGTGTTCCTGGACTCCAACACTCCAGAACAATTACAACCAAAGTAAACAAACAGGTGCTACATTTTAAATGTGAATTTTGACAGAAGAAATCTATTTCTGCCCACAGCCACCAGTGTGTGCACTGATTGTCTGCAATCTCTAAAACTAGAGTCTAGTTTTGTTTTATAACAATTCTTGCACACTACTTTACTTCTTCTGAGTGCTCAGGCCAAACAGCAAAAGAATCTGAGGAGCTGAAATAATTTCTGTAAAAGAGCAATTTTTTTTTTTTCCCTAAACATGAAAGACTTTTTTGGCTGATTACTTGATGAACAGCTGACTACTGAAACACCAAAATTAGTGCCAATAGCTGCCAAACAGCAAGATTTAGAAGTATGGAAGAAGTTATTACTTTACCTAGTTTCCTCCCTTCCTGAGAGAATACCCTAAGGGTAGGAATTCATGAGGTGGCTTGATCAGCCATAACAGATGACTGCCACCAAAAAGGGGTGCTCTTATTCCCCTGTCCCACTCTGCTCCTGCTGCCTACCACATACCAGCACTACAGCTTGCTGAACACCCTCCATGACCTAAAGCAATTGAAAAAACATGGAAGAAAATTAACCCAAGCAGGAGAAAATGGACAGTTTTCTGACATTTTAGTGAATTAAACTGGTTTGCAGAAGGTTTTGATATACACCAAAGCTAGTGCAAAAAGGAGAAAGAACGTGCAGCTGTACTTGGGGAAGCTGGGAGGAAGGGAAGTGAGCCTGCCTCCTCTGGGCAGCAGCAAGCCATTAGATTGGATTATCTGCCCATGAAATCACAGGCTAAAGATGGAAAGAGGATGTGAACTTAATGTGCCCCTTACAAATTCTCAACACTTGGTAACCTTTTGGAGGTGTCAGTAAATTCATATCTGACTAAAATATTACAAGAAGTTATCTGGATAGAGAGATTCTGAAAGAAGGCTTCTGTTTATCAGCATTAACATGCAGACAAAAGCACGCTCAGCAGATACAGCCCTTACTGACCTTGCAGAAGGTATGTCAGGCAAGGTGACCTCAACTTCAGGAAATACAGTATATTAACCCCTGTGGACAGCTGCATTGATACACATTAAAAACAATATACAAACCTAATTACCTGTATATGGCTATTTGGTGGGTTTAACCACAAAGTTCAACAGTTGTGCAAATCCATGCTAACTTAATACTCAAGTTAGTTCTAGCCAAAACATATATATGCAGCCTGTGTACTCCTCTGTTTCAAGGTATGAAATACACCAAGTTTTTCAAGGTCAAAAAACACAAGTCCAAACATTTTGTTTCATAAGTAACTCACAAATACGGAATGCAGCGTGCAACCTCACAACTGCTTGGCTGCTGTCTTAAAAACATAACTAAGTAAGGTGTATTTATACTTCTACAAGAGCAAATCTCACTTTAGGGTTTTACATGTGGTAATTGTGCACGCTCATTTTCGTCCTCTCACTGTTATGCTACATCTTTTGATCTTTCTCTTGCATAGCCTGTAATTCACATGTGCTTCCAATTCTTTTATACTGCATAGCATTTAAAGATAACAAGCGAGATGCATCAGAGCTGCGACACAACCTCCTGGGGCATGCAGCAGTACCTCTAGTAATTCAAAAGAAAAGTTTATTTAAATCTAGTTATGACTTATGCTCAAGTCTGAAAAAAACCCAAATGGCTTAGTTATGTGTTCTAGCAAAATGTTGTGGATTAACCCTGGTAGGCGGCTAAGCACTGCACAGCTGCTCGCTCACTTCCCCCTCCTCCATCCCCAGAGGGAGAAGGGGAAAGGAGGAGTAAAAGTGAGAAAACTTGTAGGTCGAGATAACAACAGTTTATAGGGAAATCAAAAGCCACGGGCACAAGCAAAGAAAAATAAGGAATTCATTCACGACATCCCATCGGCAGGCAGGTGTTTAGCCACTTCCCAGAAAGCAGGGCTTTATCACACATAATGGTTAGTTGGGAAGACAAACACTGTAACTCCAAATGTCTCCCCTTTCCTCCTTCTTCCCCCAGCTCCTATTGCTGAGCACAATGCCCTGTGGTATGGGGTGTCCCTGTGGTCAGCGGGCTCAGCTGTCCCAGCTGTGCCACGTCCCAACTTCTTGCGCACCCCCAGTCTGCTCGCTAGCAGGGCAGTGGGAAAAACAGAAAAGGCCTTGACGCTGTGTAAGCACTGCTCCACAACAGCTAGAACATCAACGTGTTATAAACACGTTATAACATTATAAACGTGTTATGGTCACGAATCTGAAACACAGCACCATACGGGCTGCTAGGAAGAAAATTAACTCCATTAAACCACATTGATGCGGTTTAATGTTTGTAACAAGTAGTATTAACACAAAGTAGCAGACCTAACTGCTTAATATGAAAGACTTGGGGGAGAAAAAAAAAAATCAGTCACTTGTAAACAAAGAACAGAACAAATACAGTAGGTGTTCAGTGCTGTTTTGAAGTATGAATCTCCCTACTAAGCCACTGTCCATGCCTGCTTTATAAACTACTACTACTACTACAATGATATTCAGAAGATTTTTCAGATAAAAGCCTTTCCTATATTTGGCAATCTGGAGATCACTATAAACAACAGTCATGTCCTGATTCACTTTGTTATGCTCATGTTTTCAGAGGATTACTAGCATTTAAGAGTCTTTTGACTTTTCAGATTTATTTTCAAAGCCCACAAAGTTTTCTAAGCTCACTGCTCAATAGGCACGCTGGTCCAAACACTATTTTAAATCAAGAAAAAAATGTTAAATAATGCTACTAGCCTCCAGAACCAACAATGTATTGATGTCTGTTAGCACAGTAACATCAGGACTACAAAATAATATTTCTCTGAATCATCAGTTGTGAAAAGTTACTTGCAACTTTGGAAGTCTATGTAATATATACATTATCACAAGTAGTTGACTGTTTTCTGCAATTTCTTCTAATTGTCTTCCTAAAGACATTATTGCACAGCAAAGACAGGTTGACTATCCAAATTTAAACAGAGCTTTTATAAAGTAGGAGCTACAGAAGTTCAAATTCTGAATCTATCTTAGAAAGCACCTTTGAAAAAATGGCATATTCTTACTTTGCAAACTTTCCCTGGAATATTCCATCACATCTGAGTTTTGCAACAAAACCAAATTGAGGCCACTGTTACCAGCTTTACAAATGCTAAATGCTTCAAGGAGAATGCATCATTTCTGTCCATATTCAGCCTCAACAGAACTATTAACTTATTTGCAAGACGACCCATACCACTCTCATTACCTCCACAATTTGCATTTACACTGATGTCAAGAGGACTGTGTACATTCAACCAACAGTAGGCTTTTGAGAACAACCGAGCTGTACAGATGCTTCATGTTAGTAAACTGAAGTCTTTATTGTGGAGACATACAACGATCAAAAGACAGCTTGCCTTTCAAATACTAGACTGAGCTTGTAGGAAGCTCAGCTGTGTATTTATGACAATGAAATCACGGTTCCACAGAAACAATCTTCGCAATGCTGCATTTATAGCCATTCTTCACATTAGAACTGCATTAACTTCTTACTCTTTCCTTCAAAACATGAACACAGACTTATGTCACTCGAGGAAAGAATGCGGCAATAAGCCCACCTATCACAAGAAAACGAGACAGCAAAAGCTTGCTTTATAGGAAACAGCAGTGTTCAGGCTGGAACACCACACAAATCAAAGCAAAACAGCTTTATTAGTAGTCTTGCCTTTCTCAAGTCTTATCTCAAACAATCACAGCTATGCTGAAAGATGGGTTAAAGAACTTTGCACGTGACTGGGGTTTTAAACAGATTTTTTTAATTCCTAGCTCACTAAGTAAATGGTTCATCAAGATAAACAGAAATAATTCCTCCAAGTGATACTGACTGATCTATATAATGCAGAGTAAATACAGCTAAGTCCTCAGGAATCCTAAGCCAGTTTTCAGGGGAGTGGGGTGAGCACATCTATCACAAGCACTGTTTTCAATGTGGGTCCACCTTGAAAAATTCTCAACTGTTGTTCAAAATGAAACGATGAAAGGATGAAATACCAGGGCACAGATTCTGAACATACTCATCTTTCATCATGACTAATTTTTTATCTTATTTGGTCAGTTTACAGACTGTTCATCTTTCCTGTACAAAATGCCACTGGGCAAAACTACTGGTACAAGATTTGTTTCCACAAGTTTGCAATACCTTCACTGAATTCTAGCATCTTTTGGAATTACTTCAAATTAAAAAGATTTTATAATATTTTCAAATTTTTCACTACTTCAAATTATCCACTTCCAAAAGGATAACAATTAACTTTCAGATATACTACATACAATTGCTGTGCTTAACTACAATCTATAAATCATATGTAACTATGTAAACTTTTGACTTTTTTTAAATACATCAATGACTTCTGAATAAGCTTAAAGGATTCCTTTAAGGAAACAAATGCTGTGAAATATTTTACTCAGTCCATTTACAAAGATATCCACTGCACAATATTCCCTTTAACTAGAACAGTTAAAACACACAGAGAAAAGCTTGTCCAGCTCCAAAACAGACACTGATACTCTTTCAGCGATAGTCTAAACAACAATAGCTCACTTACTCTGTTGCTGGACAAGGGAAAACTATACTTCCCATCTTTCCCTTTAAATTATAAAAATCTCATTATATTTCAAGGTTTTTTTCCATTTTTTTAGGATAGCCAAGGAAAAAAAAAACTTCCTTTACACCTCTCAGATGTCTGACTGCTGGAATGTATTCCTAGCTCGGAACACACTCACCAAAATTTTGAAGAGTAAATTTACCTGGATGGCTATCTGGCCACTTGGCAAATCCACCAACAAGGCGATCTTGAGTTGACAGGATGTAATTCCGGTTTTTCTCAAAATTTGTATACTGAAATATGTTCAAGAGCTGAAAAGAAATGAGACCATTACAGTAATATACTAAATCTCAGTATATTTTTAATACTAAAATATAAGGCCTATTTATGAGATAAGCAGCGACAGCAGAGATAGCACTCATCTGGTAAACCTACATATCCTGCATTTTTGCAAGATGAAAGAACTTTATAGTGATCTGTGCATTTGTGCCAAATATGTAACTCTTCCAAGCAAAAATATGAAGCCTAAAGAAATCAAACCAAGTCAGTAACTATCCAGTAGCTGTTCTGTACACTACCTTCAATGTTGCTCCCACCCAAAAGGAATAGCAAGTGTCTACAGGTTTGTTGGGTCGTCCGTGGTAGCCATTCTGTTGTCTCATTATACACCACCTTCTTATTCTGTTCAGTTCTTTTTCTGAAAAAACTTCCTCCAGTTTACCCATCAAACAGAGTGATGCAATACCACAAAACGTAGAGCCACCTGTGAAAAGAGAGTTGTTTTTGCAATGTTTTTATACCCAGATTTTCACTGAAGCATGTATGATCTCAGTCAGGACTTAAACTAGGGTAGTAACAATTAAATCAATGGATTTTTAAAAGTATGAAAATGTTAATCTTAAGTCTAAAAGCCAAATAAATAAAAACATTTTAGTTCAGCATATATGTCAAAGGGGAAAAAAAACCCAACGTAACTCTTGCACAAATAAACCTGAAATAATTTTCTTAAAGCTGGATTGCCTCTCAATGCTGCACAATTTACATTACACAGCAGTCCAGAAATAAGCAAATGGCAATGCAACAGAAAACATTGCTTCATATGTAACTGAAAAAAGCAAGCTATTGGGATGCCAGCAATCAGACTGAAGCAGAGATGCCAAAGGCAGTCTCAGACACAGTCCCCCAGAGGATATAAACAGACAGAAGTGTCTGATGAGCAGAAAGCCAAAAAAAAAAAAAATTAAGGAGGGGGGGTGGTGGTGGGTGGAAAAAAGGGCATGGTTAATACTATGAAAAGACTACTGGATTCTCATGGTTGTAATAAGCACAAATTACACTTCTAAGGAATTTTTTGTTGTCAAGGAAACCTCAAGTAAAATTTGGAAAGAGAAACTCGTGTTCTTTGGCTGTCTATCACAGCCATCACTTTTTAAAGCCCATCAAAACTCATTCCAAGTCTATTACCTGACATGATAAAATAACAGCCCGGGAAAGACCATGAGCAAGCTGTTGATACAAGAGCTGGGGCCCGAAGTTCCTTACACTGTCCTGGTGCTAGAAGACCCCAGGAACTCTAAGGTTATTTCCATTCTGATGCTGAAATGCAGCAGGAGAAGGATGCTGAAGTAACGCTGTTATCACTAGCATTCTACAGTAACTTAACTAGTTTTGTAAATACGTAAGAGTATTAATTTAAATTTTTCAACTTTATCCATCCTGCAGGAAGAAAACAGATGGAGTACTATCAAAGCTCAATACTGAGGATAAAACTAGCAAACATTTGATAGATTTAGTATCAGTCACATAAAAGTCAACAGGTTCTCTGTCACGAGCAGACCACTACTTTACGGCACAGAAGAACATTTTGCTTAAAAATGTAAGTCCTTGGGAATTCCTATCTTCATAACTACCAACTGTTTACAAAAATTAACTGCTGCTTCAAGATTTGAGCCCCCAATAGATGCTACAATTTATCAGAGGACATGTTTCTAGGTTTTACTAATAGCTGCTGAAATTGGAGATCATCTGGTGCCTTGCACAAAATCTCTTGCAGATAAATCCAGAGTAGCACTGGTACATGTGGAAAAAGTTTGCTCTGTCAGCAAGAAACAAGAATTACTGCCAAGACCTTTCAACAAAACATTCATGAGGTAAGATTAATGGAGTTGATATATCAAGAGCCCATCTGGTCTGATATTAAGCTGGAACTAAGGGAAGAAGACAGATGATATTCTGAGGCATGTTTTAGATTTGCTCCTCCTCATCCCACTTCCTTAAAATCAGAAAAGAAGGAAAGGCATGACATACCCTGCACCTCTTACAGCATTTTCAATCCCAGTCTTAAAAACAGGCATAGAACATATTAACCTTCTTACCATGAGATTCCAGTCCAGCTCCCTGTGCCAGGCCGTTATCGTAAGACTAAAGGAAAAAAACCCACAAACCAGTTACTTTAGAACCACATCACTTTCACAGACATTGCAATTTCTCAGTTTACTAGAAAAATTATCATCAGACCATAACCACCATCTAACACGAATAAATTCTGAACCTATGCCTCCAAAAGCTCTTAGCACAAAACAGTTAACAGATCAGAGTTGTTTCAATACAGGCAGCTTTTATGACTTTCATGGAGTTCATTTTAGTTGTGACGTATGTTAAAAGTCTGAAAATGGGTAAACATGTCTTTGCCAAAAAGGGAAAGTGTGTGATGCAGATAACCATTAAAGAAAAAAAAAAATTTTGTCTTTATAAAAAGAGAAAATGGATATGTAATTCCAAACAAAATTAACTGGATAAATTAAATCTGTCTCTAACCCTAAAGCTGGTTTACATACAAAAACGCAAAATGCAAGGTACTACTCTGTGTACAACACTCAAGTACCAGAAATGCTTTAGTAAGGAGCAAGAACATCAGGCTTTAAAAAAACAAAGACAGAAGGAGGTGGGGAGGAAACAAGAAGTGACAACATAATAAAGCACACTATTGCATGAAATTTAACCTGCCCTATAAAATATTATTGTTAAAAAATACCTTAACAATGCTGAAAAATCACTTTGTTAAGTGAAAGAAAAAGGAGAAACTTGAGTCTGATAAACAAAGCACCAAGAATATTATAGTACAGGTCTGTCACAAGCAATCTAGTAGCAGATGATACTGTGTATGTAGGAATAACAATCTTTCTTCCCTAAAAATTCATTAGATCATTTTGCATGATAAGAAACAAGAGATCACAGTAAGTTATTCATAAAATGGAACATGTTTATTTTACAGGAGTTCATAGAATACTTAATAAATTATCACTGGACAAATACCAAACTGTTTAGTAGGAACAAAAATGAAGTTTAACTTTTGAAGTTAAATTACACTTCTGTATTAACTGCTCAATTAATGACTGGTTGAAGCAACTAAAAAGGCTAACATCTGATACACACAACTTCAAGCTGCACCTTGACCTTCTAAAGTTTGAACCAGTCAGTTCCTATGAACATCTGAATGTTAAAACACACAGTGTAAACTCTTGGCACTGCCTTTTGAGAACGCAGTGCAAATGTGCTACCACACTCCACAGACCCATTAATTGCTAAGCAAAGGCAAGCTGATTAGCAAAGCTATGCTGGCAAAGCTAATTAACTCTACAAACAGCAATTGTAAGAGGAGGTGGTTTGCTTTATGTATGACAAAGTAATTAGCTCTGGAGAAAAGCTGTTAAGCGTGCATCCCAGACAGTGTACTATGTTGGGCTGTACAATTAGCTTGAAATTTTAATAGACAATAGCTGACCTTTGGCTGACTGGTGCCTATTTATTTACAGACAGCAGCTGCTCTTTGGGGACTTGTTTACGTTAAAGAACTGGGGAAATATTTTTGTTTCTTTGTCCTTTTGAAAAGACCCAGGAAATTATATGCAAAAGAGCCTCTAGGCTACTGCAACGTGAAAACTGCATAATTAAATACTATTCTTAGGAAATGTGCAAATCCAGTTCGGTACAATCTTTGCTTCACAGTCTGAAAGTTTCACAGCCAGCTTAGTTATATCAACAGACTCATATACCTGCATTTCAAGCAGACTACTACAGTAGAAAAAGCAGATGCTATACTTAAAAGATTCTTGCAATGTCTCTACTTAAAAAACAAATTTGCAGCAAACCAAGCGATGCTGCAAAAAAGCAGTATTTCAGAGTCTGTGGAAGTCACTCAAAATTTCAGCATCTTAGTGTCTGTTGTTTTTTGATTAGTGATAGATCTGACTTTTGAATGGGAAAGCCAAAAATCAACCTATGCTGACAAAAATTGTGTGACTGGAACCTGATGATTTTACCTATGATAAAACTGATCCACTTTTACTTTTGTGATCAGTATTGTGTAAACGCTTTTTAGTCAAGTGATAACAAGAGGGCTATCCATTCTGTACGAAGATTCAGTTCTTTTTAACATAGTTACTTTTCTGAATAAAGCAACATCATTGTTTCATGTTACAATCTTCTGCTGTTCTTGACATGGCTAACTATACAAACCCTCCTTTAGCTGTATTGAAATATACCTGCCACAATTCTTATACTGCATCACTAAAGAGAATAAAATCCAAAGAATAAGCTAAAATATCCAGAAGCTTATTACAAAGATTACTGTTTAACCAGTCATGTTACTCTACATCCAGATTAGTTGCACTTCACATGCACGCCAACTTGAGTAACTGGAAAAAAAGTTCTGAACCATCACCTCCTTCATCTCTGTGTAAACGATGACATATGATAGTAAATCAAAACCATACTTTTCTGTCACAGCAGTTTACTACCAAGCAACGAAAACTTTTTTGTTTTATAATTAATGGAAGTACCAGAACGAGGTAACTTTGTAGCAAAACAGGAATAACCATTTGCAAGAAAGTCTATAGCAATATTCACCGTATAGTCAGTTACACAAGGAATAACGAATTAATCTCAAATAGAATGTACTTTGAATCGTAATATATATAGGTTATTTTTAGCACTATCTACAATATCTTAACAGGAGAAATTACGCTACCATTCTTGGATACACATTTCACATTCATTGTATTTATTTAAGAAACACATTTTAAGAAATACTTGGTTCATGTGATAGGTAATTGAATTGGAATACATCGCAAGGAGGGTCATGGAAAGAGATGAATGAGAAGAAGGAACAGTCACCACTGTGAAATGATTTTCACAAAGGGCTACTCCCTGAATGTTTGAGACTTCTTCAGACACATCTGCAACTCCATGATGTGACCAAGCAGGATGCAAAGATTTTGTGTATTCGCCTAGAAGTGCCAGACACTTTGCAACTGTGTTAGTGCATTGAAATCCTGGTCTGATCAAACACTGCACACCCAGAAAACCCAGACAAAACTAGAGTACATGTGTATAACAACTCCGTAGCAAATTAACAGTACAGCAACACTTTTAAAAAAGAAGTCCTACTGAACACAGTGTATAGTTCATCTACCAATTCACAGTAAACCTGGACAAAAATATAACATCTTTTGCTACATATTAGCATATGCTCAGATGACTGCTGCCTATAGAACACTACTTACAGGATCTCTTTGAGTTACTCTCTGAGCTAGCCAGGAAAAGACACAGTCCTCATGATAACCCACAGTGTCTCTGGACTTCAGCCATGCCCAGACTCTGGTTTTACTTCACTGAAGTAAAGGTCAACTGAAGTATTACTATGAGCCCTTCCAAGAGGTCTTGCTCTGTTCAGGCTTCAATTTTTTTCTTTTTTGTAGGAAATATGGAATAATTGGAATTTGTAGGTACAAGGATTAACGCTAAGGCTCTAGAAGCAAACTATAAATTTGGTTCAAGATCACTGCAGACAGTAGATCTCCAGTGCCATTTCAAAGCTCCAAACTTTCAAAAAATCACCACGTGCCTGCTCTACCAATAGCCTCATATGATGCTCTCTAGTTCTTGTCTTAGAAAGAAATAATGGCTCCCTGCTCACTTCATCTTTTCAGTGCCACTTATTATTTTACATACCTGTCACACTCCACTTAACCATCTCATTTCCAGAATGAAGAGTCTTAGTATATTAAATGTTCCTTTTACACAAGCTGATTCATACCTCTGACAATTCAACTCAACTTTCTTTGTACCCTTCCCAGTTCCAACATACCCTTTGGGACCAAAACTGCACTCAAGTGTACAAAATGCTAACTAACAGTTGATGTGATGTATAGAATAACACAATGAGGATTTTGCTCTTTGGTTTTGTTCTCTGTTCTTAGTACACGATTCCCCTATTGTAGCTCTGCTAAGCTATCTGATTGAAGGCTAACCTCAGTAAACACAAAGGTCCAGCAAGGATCAGAGGAGGAATTCTCCTGATCTAGTCAGTGAAAAGTGAGCACCCTGACTCGGCTGCTCCCTTGGTCTGTGAAAGGGGAACGGATAAATCATCGTCCCTGGGTGGAACTCACCGAGAGGGCTCAGCAGGGACATTCTCACCCTGGAAAATCATGTTAATTAAAGAAGGCTACTAACTACTGGGGTACAGGGGTTCTTAGAGGATGCAGGGGAAGAAAATTCTGGGATTGTATAAAATGTGTTATGGGGTGTTTCCTGGGGATTGCAGGGGTGTGCACAACTTATGGGATGGCTAGGGAAAGGACCAATGGTGAGAAAGGGAAAGATCAAAGCAGAATGGAGAGGAACAAGCAAGGGAAAACAGAGAGGAAAAAGGGGATAAAAGGTGCTAGTAGAGTGTGAACAGACTGCTGGTCCGTACACTTGTATGACTGAGCCCTGCCCTTGATCACCTCAGTCAGTCCAACATTTATTAAATTCTGTTTTTAACTGTCGCCTGCGGACACGCACTAGCTATTTCGAGTGTGTGCATATGTGAATGCTAGCAAACTTTAGGCCCAAATAGCTGGTGGGTAAGGCAGGCTGTCTGAGTACGAGAAACTGGAGTGGGACAACGAATCTCAGGGGCTTGTGGGCTGACCTGCCAGAAGCGGGGGGAGACATGGGCTTTAGGGGACAGATGTTGGATGGACTATCAGCACCAGGCACAGCATCAAGGCTTTTTCTTTTTTCCCACTTCACCACACCCTAGCAAGTAGGCTGCAGGTGGGGAAGAAGCTGGGAGGGGACACAGTCAGTACAGCTGAACCCAACTGGCCAAAAGGATATTCCATATGTTGTAACCTCACGCTCAGCAATAAAACTGCGGCAGCAGAAGAAGGAGTGGGGAGGAGGGAGGTGTCTTCCAAGGTGGCTAATGCCTGGAGACTGGCTGGGCATCAGTCTGCTTGTGGGAGGTGCTGAAGGACTGACTGCCTTTGCATCACTTGTTTTTTTTCTCTTTTCTTCACTTAGCTACTGTCTTTACCTTGATCCATGAGTTTTCTTGCTTTTGCTCTTCCTATTCTCTCCCCTGTCCTGCTGAGGGGTGTTGGGGGCAGAAACATATGAAAAGGCATTAAAAGCAATGTAAGTGTGATAGTATAAAGTCTTGTTCATACTCTCAATTCCAGTATGCAGGCTAATGTCGTGAATGCACAATGTATGAATTAGACTGATTTTAAATTTTTTGAAAAAGAACATATGAAGAAAGTTATGTTCCTAATCCATCTATGGCAGTGTACCAGAAAGCTGCTTGTGATGCACAGTAAGAAATGCTTATGCATCTAACTACCTCCTTAAAAACTAAACAAAAAATAAAAACCAATTTGGTCTGAACCAGTAGATTAAGTCTTTTTTAGACTTGTTTCTCACTTAAATGTTACAATTTCACTGCTCACAGCAACTACTAAAACATACTGGTTTAGAACCAGTTGTACGTCATCATAAATTTGGCTCTTTTTTGTGGACTGAAGAGTTTACTATGTATGTTTACTCACATTCAGAGAACTGTCGTTTTCAAGCTTACTCAGCTTCTTTGAAAAACATTTATTTTATTATTGGGAAATGAAACTCAATTAAACTAATAAAACATCATGAAAAAAACCTGAAAACTCTTTTGCTCCAACCAAATATGAAGACAGCTTGCACAAACACAGAAAAATACGCATATATGCTAATATTTTTCCTTCATTCCAAATATCTAATAAAAAAATAATGAAGTGCATGACTGGAAACACTTATTAAGCTTGAACTGATATCAATAGTTAGTTCTTCCTTTGATTCTGTATATAATTTAAAAAGCAGGACTACAGCTCATTGAAATGTGAGAATTCTGTTGATGCAGTGCTTTATTTATGCACTTTTTCTAAGTTATAGGAACATCAGGCCCCAGTTTACAAAAACTTGCTTTCGAGTTCTGAAGAAAAACAGTCAGATTTAATTTGCAGTGAACAAACACACCACATAATTTTATCCTGCTAGTACATGCATTACAATGAATATACAAATGCAAAAAAACAATGTGCTTTTTCATTTTCAACTCGCTAAAGTAGGAACAGAAAAGAAAGAAATTACCATAATATTTCAATTTGGATGGAGAGATTTTTAGACATAGTTAAGAAATAAAGCTAGTAACTTTAAAATGTAGTAAACACTTTGCAAATACTCACCATACTTCTTCTAATGTAGTCTATTGCTTTTTTCATATCCATGCCTGACCAGTTATCGAGCATGTAGCAGATGCAGGAAGCACAGTACACAAACCTCATATCATTCTCACTTCCTTCCAGCACTGCACAGAAACTGAAAGAAACGTTTCTGTCATTATACACTGTATAGCCTGTTACATCAGAAAATACGAAAAGCAGTTCAAGGAACTGCATAATTTTTCCTTTAAAAATTAGTTACTTCTATTTACAGTATTCACATAAATACAACCCAAAGCTATGCTAGATATTCTTTTTAGAAGATGTGATTCTAACTAAGCCAAGCAAAATCAACAGAACTATTAACATTTAGGGGCCTGGGTGACTTTATTTCCAGCAATGTAATGACACTGGTCTTTACTTATTCAAAGATGTTAATGCTTACAGTCTTTCACCTATCACAGTATATACTGATGTATGAGTTACCATTTTAGCATTTACTGTTTTGGGCAGAATTCTTTACCTTCCTAGGAACCTTAATAGCTCACAAGTCTTTCTTTCCTGCCTGCAACTTCAGGATCAGTTTCCCATGTATGTATAAATGTGACTGTTTTTACTACTGTTTCTAATACAAATGGTGAAAATTACTTTCAATCCAGTTTTTGATTTCTTATGGCTACAATCTTTCCACACTATACACACATTTTAAAGTTGTCATATCTGGGTTATCTAGGTACAATCCTGTGCTCTCTCAGAGACCCTTAAAATGAAGATGGATTCTGTGACTGGCTGCCTGACAAGCCTCCATTTGGTTCAAAGAGCTAGTTAGTAAATTTTGATGACAACCATTTGCAAGAAGCCAGCACAACAGAATATTTTGGTTAGTCCTCCTGACAAATCTCTTCTAAAAAAAAAAAAAAAAAGAAAGGTACTTCTGACTTTAAAGACAGTCTTTTAAGCATGACTATCACCACTATGACACTCCCTCTTTAACCCCACAATTCAAGTATGCACCCGATTATCTTCCTGCACAGAAAAGCCTCCAACATTTCCTTGGAGATACTTTCATCTCTCTTAACCCCAGTGGTGCCAGGCCCTGCTCTCTGGAGCTCAGACAGGGATGAACTCTGGATATGGCGCAGGACATTCTGGGAAACCACGACACTTCTTAACATGTGCCAGTACTGCAGTTTACAATCTCTCCCGATCCTCAGGTGACAACTGACCTGAATGTTATCCAGATATTTGAAATCACATTCAGCTAAGGTAAGGTAGAAATTAAAATACACACATTTATTCATAATGTAAAAAGAAACAATATAATTTAAAAACAAAATGGTTTTTTGTTTTGTTGAAGTGTTTGTTTCTTCACACCTGTCTTTTATTCACTGAGACTAGCATACTTACACTA